GCCGGCGACTCACGGCAGCCCAGCTCCAGGTTGAGCTGTTGTTCAGCATCTTAGCTGTAGAGGGCAGTGTCACTGGCCCTCATATGTGAGATCCGAACCGGGGCTCTCTGGCGTCCCAAGCCAGCTCTTAACCAACGCGCCACTCGGCCGGCCCCAAACTTTTTTTATATCAGAGGGATTATTCAGTATGAATTTGTACCAACTGGACAAACAGTTAACCAAGTTTAGTATTTGAAAGTGCTGAATAGGCTGCGTAAAAAAGTTAGACAAGGACCAGCCAAGTGGCGCGTTGGTTGAGTTGGCTTGGGATGCCAGCTCTGAGCAGCAAGGCCCCGGTTCGGATCCCACATGAGGGCCAGTGACACCGCGCCCTCTATGGCTAAGATGGTGAACAACAGCTCGACTTGGAGCTGGGCTGCCATGAGTCGCTGGCAATGGCATAGGCAGTGGGGCTGCAGTGGGCTGCCGTAAGCTACCATGAGTGGCCGGCAACCAGTGTGAGCGGCCATCTAATTGCAGGCGACCAATCTGCCTCAGCCGGGAAGAGTACAATGATCACAATACCAACATGGCCCAGTGAAGCGACATCCTCCACAACTAGATTCCCCAACACTGTTCCCTCCCCCAATTCCCCAATAAAATCTTAAAAAAAAAAAAAAAATTATTCCTATTAAAAAAAAAAAGAAAAGAAAAGGTATAGCTAACATCAAGTAAATGCTGTCTCCCTGAAATTGAAAACAAGACAGGGATGTCTGCTCTCACCACTTCTACTTAACATTGTACTGGAGGTTTTAGCCAGTGCAATAAGGCAAGACAAAGGAATAGAGGCATATAAATTGAAAAAGAAGTAAACAGTAGAAGAGAAAAAAATGGAATAAAAACCAAAACAATACAGTAAGTGAAAAAGAAAGAAATACAGGAGAGACAAATAAAACGCACAAAATAAGATGGCAAATATAATCCAAGAATACCAACGTTTAAATAGAATACATTATGCTTAAATGGAATAAATGTTCCTGTTTTTAAAAATTACCAGAATGGATTAAAAAAATACAAAACAAGAAAAAAAAGAAAAAAGAAAAAAGAAAAAAAGACAAAAACACAGAAGACACTTGTAAAATATAAGGATATCAAAAGGCTGAAAGTAAAAGGGTGGAATGTGACCCACCAGGAACACTCAGGTGTGGCTGGCAGGTCTGCAGCCTTACGCCACCATTACCAAGAGCACTTGGGCAGTCCTCAGTAACTATGTGCATCTCTCTGACGTGGCAATTTGCTCCCACATAGACTTCCAAGAAATTCTCTGTGAGGGTAGGAGGAAGTCCTATGAGGATGCCCACTGCAGTTATCTGTGATAGCAACAGTTTTAGATTCACACCACAGAGAATGACACAGCTGTGGTGGGCACACACCAGATGTACATACAACAACATGGGTGGGTCTTAGAAACACTGTACTGAGTGTAAAAAGGAAGGGGGTTCATTGTACCCACAAATCAATATGGACTTTGCAAGAACAGAAACAATCAAAAGGATATGGCAGACTGGTTGCCTATGAAGTGAAAGTGGGAAGAAACTGTCATGGGAGATTAAAATAAATATATAAGATGTGGGGGGGTGGAGGGGGGCGTGGGCGGGAAGGCTAGTCTTGCCCAGACAATGATGATCACCTGGCATGAGTTGAGGAGGATGACCACCTCAACTCTCTATACCTGTGGCCAAACACAAAAGCAACAGAGAATGTGACAAAGGGAGAGATACGCATGGGCCTGGAAACTTGGTTCCCATCCATGAAACAGTCTACATGCAAGGTGCAGTGTAAATCCATGGGCCACACCAGGACACAGGCATGGCACCCTATGGGGTACATGCCCATGCACTGTGCCCTTCAGGGCCCACAAGATGGAACCTGTACAAATCTATACAACCCCCCCAGGTGCATGCACATACTGCAGGGTATTCTCACGCCAAGGTGCCCACCCTGAGGATATGTTGGTCCAAGTACACACCCAGGGTTGAGCCACAGGACCAGCTGAGGCCACAAACCCCTGAGAAACCTGCTCAGCCCAAGGCTAGGGGAGCTGGAGCCGTCCGGGGGAAGGGAGAGAGGGGCAGGGTGAACAGGGTCTGGGGAATCCAGCCCAGAACAAAGACTCCCGACCCAATGCTCTGCCACCATCCTGAAAGGGCTGCGGAGCTGAGGGGCAGGGCTGAGGCAGACTCCGGCCACCCACCCTGTGACCACGGATGCACCCACCTGTTTTCAAAATCAAGACATCTTTCCTGGCTCCACACAAATCTCTTCAGCACATCAGAGCAGCAGTACTGGCTGTAACAGGTGCCACAGCAGAAATCAGGACAGGACTTGGGGAAGACGTTGTATCCACTGGAAGCTATACACACCTCATCCTGGGCTGGAGCAGAGAAAAACATGTTCACCTGTGGCCACATGATGACGCCTCACACCAGGACTCAGCCATGTCCCAGCCAATACAGCCCAGTCCTCAGAACAGCCAGCAGGCACAAGCACGCTGGGCCATCGCTGAGCCATCTGAGTCACTGGCCGCCTCTGGCTACTACCCCAACCAGCCATGCCTTCTCCCCTGGGCCACAGCAGATATACCTAACTGGGTTCCCTCTTTCCCCACCAGTCTGCTTGCCTTGCCTTCTGATGGGAGAGTGAACTTTCTGAAGTGTGTGAGTCTAACTGGGCCACTTCTTGCTCTCAGAACATCCCTGGTTCACATTGCCTTAGAATTAAGTCCAAGTCCACAGTCTACAATGCAGGATCCAGACTGCAAAGGGCCTTGGAGGTCACCCCAACTTTCCAGTCCTATCCACAATCTGCCCATATTCTTGCATGTTTCCTACCCCCACCTTCAAATCTACTAGAAGGGCCTTGAAGGCCCTACTCCAGGCCACCCTCTCGGGAAGCCGCCCAAGCCCAGCAGTCACACAGCTGAACAGTAACGCCCCTGGCCAGCTGCTGGGGACCAGGCACTGGACAGGCCAATTCTTAATCCCCATTCCTTCTCCCCACCACTCAGCCACAGCAGCCTCAGCCCCTGCTGGACATTACAGTGTCAGGGGCCCAGCCCTCACACACCACACCCTCGGGTAGGCTGTCTCCTGACCAATTCACCATCGTCCACTGTCACACCCACCACGCAAGTGTCCATGCAGCACTTAGTCCTGCGCTGGGCCTGCAGCAGGTGCCTAGGAAATGTCTGTACTCTCAGTGGCCAGGGCTCCAAGGCAGTGGCACCATTTCAAGCCCCAGAACCATCAGAAGGCTCTCAGCCACAGAATTTGGATCTAAGGACATCCCCACAGGCTGGGGTAAGGATAGAGCTTCAGTCCACAAGGTCATGCTGCGGGGACCTGGCTGACAAATGTGGAAGATGACCCAGGGCTTTGGGTGACCACAAGATTTGCAAACTTCCAGGAAGATGCTATAGCCATATGTCCCCACGCATCCTCACATCACCGTAGCAGAGATCTAGTGCCCACCAGCAGGATGGGAAGTCCAGGACTCTGCTTGGACCCCAAATGGAACCAGCAAGGCCCAGATGACTATGGCAGACTGGGGATAGGTCTGATGATAAACTCTGAGATGGGTTAAGTCACCTGGAAACAGCCCTGGCACAGCACTGGGACTCTACCGACCCAGCCCAGTCAGTATCATGTACCCTGGGGGCCATCAGCAGCGCAAGGCCCACTGAGTAATCTCCTTGAGAAGAGGTAACTAGGAATGGGGCCGGGGGTGGAGGGGGAGTGCTTTGTTCTTGGCAACTCCAGGCAGAACCCTACTCTGGGCAAAGCTGTGGGGCAGAGAGTGGGACCACCAACAGGCCTAGCCCAGCCAGCTGTCCATCTGACAGCAGATCTACTCAGCATGGCCCAAGCTACTGGGTGGCTCAGGTGACCCACCATCACCTCTAGCAAAGGTCTTTACAACCTTTAGAGTCACAGTCCAGCCCAAGCTTCTAAGCTGAGGCTGAAGACAAACACCAGTGACTCTGTTTGGGCCAAGAGCCCATGACACAAATGTTCTTTGACCCCCAGGGACTCTGGACAAGGCTCTCCAGACCTCACTGGATCAGGCACAGGGCTCCCCGCCTGCTCACTTTTCCACCCTAGGTCCTCCAGATTCCTCAGAGCCCCCAGGAAACAAGGTCCTTCCCCTCAAGGAAGCCACCCATCCAGAGGGAACTTTGGCTCTCTATGGCTGGGGGGTAGGGTGCTGTTCCAATTTCGCCAATAGTCCTAAAAGTCCGCCAGCCGGCCTCCCAGCCTGTGAATCATTAGTCTACAGTCAACCAATCAACACATTCAGTTAGTGGTGTCTCCTCTGGCCCCAGAGACCCGCCTCAGCTATCTCCAAGAATACGCGGGGCTTGGAGGCAGCGGGTGGGGGCAGGGGACTCCCAGCCAGTAAACAGAGGCCGATGTAAGACCTATGATGGAGGGGCCAGGCCTCCCAGCTGCCACCACCTAGGGCTAAGGCCAGGCAGGGAATCCTACCCTAACTTCTAGGGACTTAATGCCTTGAAACATCAGAGGGAGGATAGACTCCACACACACACCCAATGCCAGGGCATAACAATGGTGGCAGCTGCCTGGGGTCTGGGCAATGTCAGTTCAGGCAGGCAGGGGTGCTGGGGTGAGAAGAGGTCAGTCCTGGGGGTTTGCCGACTGCCTCGGGTTTACAAGGGGTGGGAGTGCCGGGGTGAGGGCGCTGTGGGGGCGGTAACGCCTGGGCTCGGTCCAGGTCCGTGGCAGACGTGGCTGCCCCCGTCCCTGGCCGGGACAAACTCTCCCACCCCCAAAGGCTCACCACCCGGAGGCGGCAGCAGCAGCAGCAGGAACAGCAACAGGGTCCGTGGCGCGGGGGCCGGGGCGACCATGGCTGGGCGGACAGTCGGACGGACACACGGACGGACGGAAGCACCAGGGTCGCCGTGCAGCCGCAGCCCCAGAGACCCGCGCGGCCACCCACTTCTTGGCCACGCCCCGGCGGGTTCCGGGAACGCCGCCCAGGAGGAAGAGGAGGACGGAGGGCGAGGCGGAGGAGGGGAAGCGCCCGCGGCCCCACGTCCGGCGTCCGCGCGAGAACTCGGGGCGGCCCGAGTTGCCTCCTGCTCCCCGGATACTTCCGGCCCTCAGCCCCGAGGGGGTCTCCGCGGGGATGCGCACCCACACTTGCGCTCCTGCTGTGCGCGCCGGAGGCCGACACAGCCCCTCCCCGCGCCTCGGGCTCCTCGTGTGCCCAACGAATCCTCACTCTCTTCTCCAAGAGTTACCTGAGGACCAGGTGAGGTGGTGGGACAGTGTCCAGGACAGACCTGGGCACGCAGTAGGCGCCCCACAACCAATGTGGGTTCCCTTCCGGAAGTCGAGTCCGGAGGCCTCCGGGGACCCCAGCCCTGAGCACACAACATCGCCCCGCCCTCGGGGTGGCGCCTCCATCGCGGTGGTCATCCAACCCCCCGAGTCCAAGCAGGCTCAGCCCTGGACGAGGGCAGGCCTGGCTCAAGTGGCCTGGTCGGAGGGATAGAAACTCGCAGCCCCCAGGCACACACTAGGCCCCTGGGGGGCTCAGGGGAGTGCCGGCTGGCGCACATCCTTGCCTGCCCCCAACATGTGCCCTTCACAAGACCCAGTGCAATGGAGCAATGGCTAACAGTGGCCCTGCCCCGCACTGTGGGGCATGCAGTTGGAACAAAACATCGCAGACTCAGTAGTTGATAAACACATTTATTTTGCACAGTTCTGCAGACTAGGAAGTCCAAGACCATGGTGCCAGGAGATTCTGCATTTGATGAGAGTCAGCTTCCAGGTTCTAGATGGCCATCTTTTCCCCTGTTCTCACATGGCAAAAGGGCCAAGGGACCTACCTCTCCAGGGCCTCTTTTATAGGGGCACTAAGGAATCCCGTTCTTGAGGGCTCCACCCTTCCACCTAAGCACCTCCCAAAGGTTCCACCTCTAGATACCATCACCTTGGGGGTTAGGATTTCAACATATGAATGTGGGGAGGACAGGAACATTCTGGATATGGCAAGCATTTCTTTGCCCCATCTCTGACCTGTGCCCACCCTGCACCTGACATGTTCAGTACATTATGCTCAAGGCAGCAAACGTGACATCACACTAACTGGGCACCCGAGCAGCGTATATACTCTGTGTACCACCACATGTTCTCACCTGAGGGCAGGGGTATGCTGTGACAGGCTTGGTATCGTGGGCTTTTAGCACAAGTGAAGCCTTTTGGCCTGTGTTTATTTTAACAGCACACAGGTGGGAGCAGAGGCATGAGGGTCTCCAGGTAGGATGAGGGGCCCCTCCCTGACACAGTTCAGCCTCATCCTGCCCCTCTGCCTCTACCCCCTCACCTCAGTTGAAAAAGGAAATAATCCTTCAGCCCACTGACCACATTCTCCAGAGCACTGGCCAGAAATCACTCCCCCAGGGGATGGGCTGCCTCAGCCCCCAGCCTCTCATGCTAAACTAGCTACTTGTGCATCCATCTCCCCAGGAATCCTGTCAGCCTTAGCCCCAGTGCCCACAGTAGGAGCCTGTGCCTGTCCTGAGCTGTCTTCTACTTTCCGCTTCAGGTCCACCCTTCACCTGTCCTGGCAGAGGCTCCCTCTTCTCCGGCTGCTTGTTGGGTTTAGCCAATAGAAGGCAGCCGAAGGAGATAGGAGGGTGGGAGGAGAGGGCATGGGTAGGGCTGTTCCTTCCCAGTTCCTTCTCCAAAGCTTCTGCAGGCAGCCAGACACACCCCACCCACCCAGCACTTGCACCCACCCATAGCCACGCCTCTCACCTGAGTCTGTTTCAGGGACACAGGCTGAGAAATTGGGACTTTACCTTGAGGGCCTAGAGGAATGACTGACTTGAGAGATTCCTCGGGTGGACAGATTATAGGAACTGAAACTGGAGGTTGGGGGCCAGTAGGGGGTTGGCGGGTAGTCCCAACAGGGTCCAGTAACACTTCCCCACCTGTCCCTGTGGACCTAGGGATGGAAAGGGCTCCCACTGATGCTCGCCCGACTTCTCCGTGCTGCACAAGCCTAGGTGGTCCCCTGAACCTAACCTATAGCTCTGTAAATAGCCTTTATTGAACTCTCTTCAAATACCCAGGTTGATAAGAACGACTGTTTTCAACCAGGACCTTTATATACAGCTGCTGCCAAGCTGTAGCCAGAAATTCTGCATAGGGCTTGCAGGCAGGAGCAACACCCAATGATGACCAGAAAGCCTAGTGCCCAACAGGGTGCAGATGGCAGGGCCTGGATGCAGCCCACCAGCCCAGGACTGTCCTGCCAGGGCAGCAATGGTGAGTGCTAAAGTAGAGCGCTCTCAGGGCCCTTGCCATTTCTCTCCACCCAGCACCTGGGCCTCAGAAGGCGGAAATGCCAGACACATTCCCAAGGGCCCAAAGCCAGCCAACCAGACACATCCTCCCTGGAGTTTGCTGGGAGCTGGTCACCAGCAGCAGGACAACAGGCACTCTGCTTTGGCTGCAGCTGGGCAGCAGCATGCACTGTCTGGTCCTATGGTGAGGGCTGTGTGAGTCACAGTGTCCCCTGCTTGCTCTGTAGTGGTGGCAGTGGCTGCTCACCTGACCAAAGCAGAACTTTATTTTGGCTGGAGATGAAGTTAATATGCTCTCTACGTCTTACCCTCTAGCCCCTGTTGTAGCTCTGGGAGCTACACAAGTTGTTTTTCATAAATTCCATTCCTGATTAGGGTAGGCAGAGTCAATTTCCTCCAACTGATTGTCACCAGGAAGGGCAATAGGTGCCTAGGGCAATGGGGGTGTGCCAGGGTGAGCCTGGTGGGAGTTAAAGGCAGTAGCAATCCAGCCAGAATGAAGGGAAGGGCTCTGGCAACCCTGGCAGGCTGAGGAGACAGCTAGTAAAGTCACTGATAGAGTAGGCAGATAGAAATGAGCAGGAAAAGGAGAGATCCAGCCCCAGAGAAAAAGCCCTCTACTGCTGCACCTACTTGGGTCAAGATCCCTTGCAGCTGCCCTCACTTAGGGCACCAATGCCTCACTAGCCCAGCAGGATTCCAGGCTTACATATAAAATCATTTTTTCTTTTTTTTTTAAGGAGGGCGCAGCTCATAGTGGCCAATATGAGAATTGAACTGGCAACATTGGTGTTATTAGCACCATGCTCTAACCAACTGAGCTACCCCCATACCCCTAAATCAAAGGGATATGTCGTTAGAAGCCAGAGAAGGAAGACATCCCGCTTATCAGAGTACACATCCTGCCTATCAGGACCATTTTAGTGAGCTTCTCAAACAAATTATAAAAAGAAAATTGACAGTGTGGATGAAAAAGAGGCCACATACTAAACTTGACAAGCTAAGGGGAGGCCTGCATGGCAGGCCCTACAAACTCAGAGACCAAAATTAACCACATAGGGATGGTCTGAACACAAAAATTCCTAACCTCTGTCAAGGAAGCTACAGGCCAAGGATGTGACTACCAACCATGACTGGTATGGGGGTGACCAGTTAGCTCAGTTGGTTAGAGCGTGGTGCTAATAACACCAAGATTGCCAGTTTGATTCCCACGTGGGCCACTGTGAGCTGTGCCCTCCTTAAAAAAAAAGAAAAAATGACTTAGGGGTATGTGTATCTGCCTTTACTAATAAGCTTCTTACTACCCTATACCTGCACAAGATGCTGTCTCTCAACTGAATTCTTTCCCTCAAGAAGACAAGAGCAAAGGAACATTATCACAACCCAACCCGGTAACATCACCACTGGTGGTGTGGTGTAAAAAAAACTTCAGCGTGTGGGACCCGGGGCTGAAGCAGGCCCAGCTCCCTACAACCTCAGTGGATCATGCCCAGGGTGGCAGTAGTGGGGGGAGGGATGGTGAGTGCTGTCCCCACACCCCCACTATTCTGTTTCCAGTTACAACACAGATCACAACAAACACAGCCGCCACAGAAACTCTGTGACATTACTTCTCCTTATCAGCTTAGCGGTCCCCAAGGAGACTGCCTGCCTGCATACGCAGAAGCTAATTGAGACTCTGGAGCCCTTTGGGTTTTCTGAAGAGGAAGAGGAACGGCAGCGCAGGATTTTAATTTTGGGAAAATTAACCTGGTAAAAGAGTGGATACAAGAAATCAGTGAAAGCAAGAATCTTCCACAATCTGTAACTGAAAATGTTGGAGGAAAAATCATTACTTTACATTTGGATCTTACAGATTAGCGGTATGGATGGCTTGCGTGTTGTGCCAAGACATGTTGACAACCTCATTCTATGATAAGTTGAAATGACCAGAAGAGGTAAAAGATTCAAGGGCTGTTGAAGAGGTCTGTGTGCCAGTTACTAAACTGTGTTTTGATGGGATATTGATATTTTATTTGCAAGATTAGCACTGCAGACTATTCTAGAAGACTTGGACTTATGAGAGGACAGTCTGCTTAAGAACTGAGATACATATAAGATGCATAAGAAGTCTTGACGGTTGCAGGGTAACTGATAACATTTTACACCTAGTACCAAACATTGACAGACAACTTGAGGTTAACTCAGAGCCATCAAACTGTGGGCCAAATGCCACAACATCTATTCCAATGTATTAGGTGTTTCCTGGGCTATGCTAATAGCAAGAACTTGCCAGTTTTATTCAAATGCAATAGCATCAACTCTTGTACATGATTTTTTTTTCGGGCGGGAGGGGGGTTATTTTTTAAATGGTATGTGTTTAGATTATATTAAAATAAAATTGATTGTAGACAAATGGAAAAAAAACATTCATCATTACTCTTTGTCCTAGTTTCCGGGCTCCAGATCTCCTAAAACACTAGGAATTTTACTGTAGGAATTTTACTGTCTTTAGTGTGCTAATAAGGTAACTCCAGGCGGGGAGATTCTAGCTTCAGGATTGGGTTGGTCTCCTGAAAGACCTCGCCAGGGATACAACCAGGGTTGGAACTTTCAGCCCCACCCCCAACCTGGGAGGGTGGGGGGTGGAAAAGAACTTCAATCGCCAAAGGCTAAA